GCCCCTTAGCTGTTATAAATTCACTGTAAACCACGGCTTCACGGGGCTTATTGCTTTTATAAAACGGTTATTCCATATACTCAGTAAGGTTTCACAAAATAAAACAGAACAAGTAATGTGTAATGATATTAATAAAAACATTATTCTTCCGCCAAACAATGTAGTTCCTCAGAAACGGTTGTGGTTCCAACAAAGTGGTTGCCGAGCAACACACAAACGTAAACAAAGGTGTATGTTTGTAGAGTAATTTACAACAGCTTCGAACTTGGCTCAGCCAATCAGAATCAAGGACTGGAACTCTCCGTTTTATAAAAGAATTTTAAGTTTGAAATGATAAACTACCATTCGAAAGTCTGGAGTAAGTCATTTGTATTTAAAGAAATTAATACTTTGATTCAGAAAGGAGACAGTAAGTTGATCAAAAGTGGCGGTAAAAACATTCATAAGATTTCTATTTCAAATAAATGCTGTTCTTTTGAATTTTGTTCATCAAATAATCCTGAAAAATAAACTATCACGGTTTCCACAAAAATATTGTGCAGCACAACTCTTTTCAACACTGATAATAATCAGAACTGTTTCTTGAGCATCCAACCAGCATTTTAGAAGGATCTCTGAAGGATCATGCATGAGACACTTAAGACTAATCTTAATATATAAAATAGCTCACAAGGTTTAACCAAAGATGGACATTTTATTTATTTGTTTGTTTGTTTATAACCACAATGAAGTCAACATGGGGTGGATTTTAAATCATCTAATTAAAAGTCAAAGAAAAAAAACTGTATTGGAAAAAGTTTGTTTCAACAGTCATCGTCCTCCAGGAAGTGACATCATTTTGGAGGGAAAGCAGCAACGGCACAAACTCAAACACCGGTAAGTTTTTCAATGAATTGAATGGATTCAATATTTTGTGGTGCTGGTTGGCTTTTCACAATATAGACTACATCCTTTCAAAGCAGCTTTACAGGAAAATATTGCTGTACAAATCCTTCTGTCTGAATAACAGTGAGGCCTGTGCATCCATCAAACTGTATCCTCCATATTTCAGTCTTTTAAAACTTTCAGAGAAGACTACCTTTCAAGGCTAACTTGACATAGTTATGTTTTGCCATTGTGACTCCTGAAAGGGCTATTTTAATACACTGGACACTGGAATTCAACAATGCTTTTTGCTAGTCAGACTTTAACATTCCATGCTTGAGATAAAATATCGCACAATGGGCATCTCGAAACCATGAAATACAGAAAAAAATTATGATTTAACTACAGATAAACAAGTAACGATGCCCATCATATGATTTTCAATCTAGAATGGGAGTACAATAATTCTGACTAAAATATATATTTTGGTAAAATATTTATACATCCAAAAGTGAAAGAACTTCAAATCTGTTCCCCCATTCATAACAGCAACATACACTGCAGTATAAAGAGTGTTAAAGCGATATTGACAGACTTTCTTATTTTAAAACAGAGCCATTGTTTGTGCTGTAAACCACTGTTTAATAAAAGAAAAAAAATTCTCCTGCTGTACCGAAAACATACCAAACCATGGATTCAAAACCGAAGAAACTTGGTTTCCTCGATGGAATAAAAATA